TTCAGAAATATCTGCTCAAACTGTTTCATTCCACCACACTTTTCATTAAATAATCAAATGCTGGCATCAATAGTCAGACAACAAACCGGTTGAAGATCCTTGCATTTATTAAATCTTTCATTAGACTCTAGAGGGGTTTTGTGCAGTCATACATCAGGGAAATATATACTGTTGCAAAAGTATTTTTAAATGTTGATTAAATAACTTGTGTTACAATTAAGAGCAATTTATTTTCGTCTTAACACAGTAAAGAAGTATTAAACATGCTTCTCTGTATTTTAAATCATTTTAATAACCTGTTTGCATTATTTTTTATTTTGTTGAAGAAAATGTTTAGGAGAAAGCTGGAAACCAGTAGCTATTAGCCCCATTCACACAGTGATACTGGTAAATTTCCAGAAAATTTCCAGAACGACTTTACAGGTAAATTAAGAAAATCGCTTTTCCGGAAAAGACCATTCAAAAATACTGAAATTCCAAATTCCAAAATACTGAAATTTCTGAGATCATTAACCATAAATGGCCTCTAAACTGCTGCGCTTGTATTTGTAAACATAATAGGGGCCAGGCTTTTGTTGATGGTTTTACTTTTTTTTTTTTTTTTTTTTTTTAAATCTTTAGCATTCATGCAGCTGCTTTTGTCCCAGAGACATCCAAAGACAGAAGTGCTAACCACAGCTAAATGGTTACACATTTGACTACATTACAAATTCCGCAGATGCTTAAGTATTGAGAACAACTTCGGTGTAAACATATGAAGGAACATTTTCGCATCTTGAGATGTACATTTGTTCATGTGCTAGCACATTTCTGTCAGTTCGCATCCCATCCCTTTGTGCCACCTGGCGGCATGATCACAAACTGCTGTTATACCTAAAAACATGTTCTTACTTTAGCACAAGGCACGGCAGTAATGTTCATTTTAAAGTGTCACCCACTGTATATGTGTCAAAGGGGCTATTGACATCCATAGTATTTGTTTTTTCTATTATGGAAGTCATTGGTTCCAGGTTTTCAGCTTTCTTTCATTAAATATTCTTTAATGTTCAACTGAATAAAACCCTTATAAAGATTTGGAGCTACTAGAGGGTAAATAGTGAGTAAACTTTCATTTTTGGGTGAACTATTCCTTTTGCAGGATGGGACGAGTTACATAATCTGTTATATTGAGGTCTAGATGTATATGATGCAAATTATTAACTGTAAATTACAGTAATTAACAACTATAGATATACAATTTTTCAATTGCATTAATACAAATACCTCAACATTAGAACCACTGATATAAGATATACAGTACATATCAAATTTAGCAGTTACCCTTTAAATCTGAAATTATTTATTCATTTTTGAGGTTGAGATATTTTGTTCCCATCTTTTCCTTTCTCATTGTCTCTCCTTTACCGTCTCTCTCCTCCTCCAGTCACGTCTCAACTGTTTCCTCTTTCTTAAAGAACAGCTGTCTGGTTTCCCCGCTCAGACTTCAGACAGCTGTCATATACCCACTCCTCTCTTCTCCTTGACACTCCAGCTGAAGTGTGAACTGTAATGTGAGGTGCTTTTGCTTAGGGAACATGCAGCAGTCAAAGCAATTGACTGTCAGGTTTTCACATCGCAGGATATTTCTCTTCCTCTCTGGCTTTTACGAGCATTCCCTTTATACTTTTCTCAGTTTCCTTTTCCCTTTTGCCCTTTTCCATTTTGTTCGATTTAACTTTTTCCGTCACTCACCTTTGTCCATAATGTACTCGTGCCCTTTCTCGTAAATGCTTGCTCACAGACCTACACATCTTACACCTTGTGATCCAGATGTTATCGCAGTATAACATTTGAATGCACAATATGCTGTATCGCTCTTAAAGCCAAGATCATCCAGTCTAATCCGGGTTTAACAAGAAAAAAGGACCAACCTGGAAGAGAACCAAAATGAAAACTGACCCTGTGTGCTAATCCGCAACTGTCATGCTTAAACGTTTCCTTTCCTTCTGTGAAAACTCTCTTTGAACTTTTTTAACCCTGTCTATTGCTCTGTCATTCATTCTCTCTGTTTGCAATCCTTCAGTTCTTATTGCCTCAGGATGTGTCTCTGTCTTGACAAGAAGTAGACATGGCATTTATTTGTTGTGACAGAGCTCAGATGTGATCTGACTCCACGAGTCCTTCATATGTAGAGCAACATGAGCTCTGTAGTTTATGAAGTGTTACCTGATGCTACATGCTACACAATAGCATTAGCAGCCTGGAAAACCTGTGCTTGTGTGTGGAAAGGAACTTTAGCTTAGACAGAAAGCAAATTAATTCGTTATGCCTTTTTTTTTTTTAGAACCCACCAGTTATACATCACAATTTCGATTTACATGACTGAGAGACAACATGAACAAGAAAAAAGAACTATCCCATGCTGTAACTAAAAATACAAAAATAAAAAAAATACAAAAATACAAATTTTATTGGCTCTATTGTAATGATCTAGGCGCAAAGTCTAAAGCGCGTGATGCAAAAGCATTAAGGGCATGTCCAAATTCACTTTTTTATTTTAAGAATACTATTTTAATTTGCTATTTTAAGAATGGAAAAATGGTCTAACAGCGTTGTGCTTGTTCTTTTAATGAGTTATGGGTAGGCCCACACCGAATCTGCTTGAGCAGAATTTCACAGAATTCCGAAGATTTTTAGCCCATCAATGATTTTTGCTTGTGTTATTTATTTGTGAAAATTTATATTTATTCAGTTTATAAATGAATTACAGTAGTATTATTGATTAATATGAAAAGGTTTTTATGATTTATTTACAATACAGTTTGTAAAGTAATATTTTCTGTCATTTAGTAGATATATTATTTGAGAGACTTATTTTGTTTACCAAATAAAGTGGATTTAATTAAATTTGCATCGCAAACAATAAATAAAATATTTAAGAAATTAAATATTTATCTTTTTTTTGTAATATGCAAAGCTCTTATAATTTGGCTAATTGGCTAGTAATGTAGATAATAAAAATATTAAATGGAATAGTATTATAGTGAATAGTAAATAGTATTACTGTGCATAGAGCCTGTAAGTCAAACAATTTTAGATATAGGCAAGTGTAGATTACTATGAAATATTCATGTAATTTGCTTCATGTAAGGGCTTTATTGTTCTTCATTGTTGAGACCGTGACAGTATGAATTATTGAGGAATGAAAAGAATGAATAGCATGATGAATATTTGATAAGTAATGTAAGTAGTATTACTCATTTTCATTTCATTCATGTTTTACACCCAATAGTGTATAGTGAAATAGTGTAAGTTATTGACCATATCACAAAAGTATTTTGTGACCTATCGGTATCAACTAAAATTTTTGTTTCGCTTCATCAGAAATGTTTTAATAAATTCAAAAAGATCCATCAAAATAGTTTTGAATATATTTCTAGCTAAAGTACTGTCCTCTGCTCTTGGTACTTGCAAAGTTTTGACCATCTGTTTGTGTGTGCAGGTGGAGGTTTTACTGCAGTGCAGGACTCACTGAGCATGTGCCAGGAGTCTAACTTTCCTCTCTCTCTCTCTCTCTCTCTCTCTCTCTCTCTCTCTCTCTCTCTCTCTCTCTCTCTCTCTCTCTCTCTCTCTCTCTCTCTCTCTCTCTCTCTCTCTCTCTCACATTTCACATTACATAAATAATTAATAAAATAGTACAGAATAATGAATAAAAATAATGAATAAAATAGTAAAATAATACATATATGTACATAGTTTTGTTCACTGACTTACTGACTTTCTGTGTTTATGACAGGCTAATACATATTTTGTTGCTGTTGTTTTCAGATGGGAGTTCTCTCTCTGATATGCCTTAATTTTTCTGTATTTGTTAGAGATATAAAATGTGGTGTAATTATCTAGACATTGGAGAAGCATGTGGATCTATTTTTGTGGTAATAGTCACAATGCAGCAGGTAATGGTCCTGATCTTAAAATGAGAAACTTAAATAATGTATTTTTGTTTTGAGATGTAATGTTTTTTTGCTTTTTTTGAGAAATTTTTTATAATAAAAAGGGGTTTAAAAGTAAAGTCTCTCTCTCTCTCACTCTGTCAACTTTTTACCTCTTATTCCTTTTTATTTAACTAGTTCCAAAATTGGCAATGTGCATTGGTTAAATAAGAACTATTTTAATACAAGTATCTGTGTAAAATCCATGCATGTGTTTTTTATGTGTCATTATCTGTCATTATATTCTCAGTGATGTTCCTCTTCCAATGTGTTTTTTCCTCTTTTAACGCATTAGTTCTGCTTTTGTTATTCTTCCTGTTCCTCTGAGTGTTTGCTTTACTGTGCTGGTGGTATCTCAATTGGTGTTGATGAGGGATGTTACTGGTATTTTCTTCAGTTTAAAGACATTTCTTTAGGATTTATTTTGGGAGGGAAATATGTCTACATTTAAAATTCAGTGTAGATTGTGTCAAAGCAGCTTAACACAGACATTCTAGTAAATTAAAACTGTGTCAATCCAGTTTTCAGAGTTGAAGTTCAGTTTAGTTCAGTTCAGTGTGATTTCATTTTTACTGGTGGAATTGACAAAAGTTAAGGGGGAAAAAAACGGCTCAGTTGGACACAACCATTTCTCCTCTGTCCAAACTTCTTGTGCAGAGCAAAATGTTTTACATCCAAATCATACACTGGCTTCAGCAGACCAAATTTTTGCCAACTGTCAAATGTAACATTGTGGGAAATTGCAGTCATTGTCAATCAGGACAAAAAGTTATTTTTAAATCCTTTCTCATAGTTTCTGTTCTTCTGTTCAGTTTCTCTTCTTCCCATGTGGAATAGGTTGTGAGACAAATGCAGAGATTTGTCTTTTCTGCCTGTAACTGGCTTACACGTTCCCTCTGGTGTGTAATATATTAATATAGTGCCACAGCTCCTTTGTGTGCGCAGCTGGGATTGATTCAATTCTCTCTCTCCCCCCAACAACCCCCCCCCCCATCTCTCTCTCTCTCTCTCTCTATCTCTCAATCTTAGGACTGCATCCAGCTTAATCAGTACAAGTTAAAGAGTGAGATTGGGAAGGTAAGCGCACCTATAATACATCATTCTCATATTGTGTCATTTGTATAGTCTACATGCATAAGCAATCCAGTGAAATGCCATGGCCATGTTGCGTTTCATATAGTCAGGCAGACACTGACCCTTTCTGACCCTCAGCACAGTCTCATAGTCTGACTCATGTTTTTTCCTCTATCCGCTTCTTAAAGGGCTCATATGGTGTTGTCAAGTTGGCATACAATGAAGATGATGACAAATATTACGTAAGTACCCTTTAAAATAGCTATAATTATTTTCATGTTCTTGTTGCATCATCTGATTAGTGCAGTGCTGTGAGATCTGTCAAGGTGGTCTGCGTGGACAAAATTCTGATGCTAGTGACGCTTTAAACTCGCTTTAACGCTTTAAAAAGAAAGTAAGGAACAACATGCACTGTAATATGTTATAAGTTGACCTTCGAAAAATTGAGGAAACCGATTGCCTTAAAATTTCTAAGTAGTGTAATAATTTTAAGTGTGTATAGGAAACCCACGCCAACATGGGCAGAACATGCAAACTCCACACAGAAACATCAACTGACTCAGCCGAGGCTCGAACCAGCAACCTTCTTGCTGTGAGGCAAATTTGCTATCCACTGCACCACCCTGCAGCCTATATAATTGTTTCATATTAATATATTATAATATATTAATATATTTATACCTTTTGAACATCAAAGAATAAAAAAACTCAGATTTATTATGCTCATGTCTGATTATGCTTAAGTTTTAATTCTTCACCATTCTCTATCATTAACATGCTTTTGACACATGACCACTCAAAAGTTGTAAATAAATATTAGTGTAAGTCAAGATTACTTGAATTTGTTTAGTTTAACAACTTGATGTGCTAAAAAGTTGGGATCACTTGTTTAAATATTGTAAGGTGTACAAACTTATTCGTAATGAGTTTACTGCACCTGATTTTATTCATGACAACAGCTATTGCTTTTTACAGTGTTGTAAAAAGAGAAAAGAGAAATGATGGAGAACAGGCAGGATGCATAGAATGGTAATGTAAATGAGAGCAAATGGAGGAGGTTTGTCATTAGTATTGGGAGTAAACATTACAAAAGAAATGTGATTACAGTATGATTTAACAGTCTTTATAACACAAGTTCAACACATTTTAATAATGAACGTGCTAAAGAATGTTATTTATTAAAAATATATCAGCACCGGGACACATTTACACTGCAGCAGAGAAAAACATCAATGGGTAAAATAGTATGTCTGTTTACTGTTGCTGGAGTTTGATGTATCGCCAAATTTTAGAAAACTTGTCAGCAACTGATCAAAAACTTATCACAGCACTGAAGAGAAAAACAGCGGAATTATTGTGCAACAATTAAGTTAATAAACTGAGTTGAGAATGCTTTTCTTTTCACAAATCACAAACTATTACTATAGTTTTACAGCAGTAACATAAACTGAATTCATTGGCAGAAGTGTGCAATTTTCATATTGATATTTCACATTTTATTTTGCTGTACATGTATTCAAAATATCATATAAATGTAGGTGCTGATAGCCTCATGGAAAGTAGGCCAACATGAACAACCATTGCGCTTCGGGTATATCCCAAGTTCGAGTCATAGATCTTATCTTGATCTTTTCAGTGTAAGGGAGATTCTTCCAGAAATGTGCATTATCTGTTCTTGAAATAAAAACAGAAATACAGTGCATAATAAGTTTAATAAATAAATAATATATTTTTTTTAAATAAATAATTAAAAATCAGAAACAACTAAGTTTAAGTTGTTATAATTCACAGTAATTGATTAAAAACATGAAATCATAAATAATTTCTACAAAAAAATACTACTGTTTCTGTCAGTCCTGTCACAATTGCATTCATTTTTTAAGGTTATGACTGAGGAAGTGACATCATTTGTGTCATCAAGTGACATCATTTGACAGAGGAGAAGCTGACAGTGATTAAGGATGCATTCTATCAATGAATTGTATGATTTTATACTTGTTTTTGTATGATTTTTTTCAGGAAGACAAGCTTAAAGTTCAGGCCCTGTCCCATTTTTTACAAGTGAAAATGTAGGTTTCTTGCAAGATTGTCCTGTAAACACTATTCAGACATGTTGAAAGCGGCTTGAATAGTACACTGGTATATAGATTGGGTTGCACCAATAATGTCATAAATGACTGTCATGTCATTCTACGGTAAAATTCTTCTCAGCAGTCCTTCACAGACTCGTTGCTTTGGCCTAAGGAAAGGGGATTTTTATTGCTTGATAAATATTAGCAGCACGGCTCAAAGCTTGCTTTATATGTTTGCTGTGTTCTAATTAGGAGCAGAAATTGATACATAGAAAGTTTTTAGCAATTTGTTTAGTGTTGTCCCTATTCTCGTTATAAACTGAAATAGTCATACAGTATAGACCAAAATCACTAATATATATCAAAATAAAAGCCTAATATATCTAATTGGCATCTCTTTAAAAAAAAACCCATTTGTTTTCAAATTGATCTTAAATATGATAATATTCTGTCACCAAGCCCTGTGGTAGAATATGGGAAATGGAAAATACTTTTTAAGTTGACTTTTTATGGACATCTCTTTCTAATTAACATTTCCCCAAATGAAGTCAAGACAGGCTTTTTAAAAAGCATTTACATCAGGAAAAGGAAGATTTTTTTTTGTTGCATTAATATATGTAACCCAGATCATAAATCTAGGTCACTAATAATCATTTTAGAAAGTATTATTATTATTATTATTATTTATTTATATTATTTTATTATTTATACTCTAATAATAAGTGAATAAAAAGCAGAAAGATCGCTGTGTAATTAAAGGTATTAACAAATATTTTCATACCTGATCTTGATTGGAGAAGTGAGCAGTTAGCTCCGCCCCCGCACATGCGACGGAAAGCACAAGCAGATAGTGCCAACAAACAAACAAGAGCTAGAGAGGTAGCAAGTTGACAAGCAACCGAGAGAACTAGAGATATAGTGCTAACAAGCAACCGAGAGAACTAGAGAAATATTAAGTTAACAAGCAGTGAGAACTAGAGAGCTGACGAGCACAGGAGAGCTGGAGAGTTAACGAGCACACGAGAGCTGGAGAGCTAACGAGCACACGAGAGCTAACGAGCACACGAGAGCTGGAGAGCTAACGAGCACACGAGAGCTAACGAGCACATGAGAGCTGGAGAGCTAACGAGCAGTCGAGAGCTAGTGATCTAACAACCAGTTGAGAGATAGTACATCAATAGAAAACTGACAAAATAGACTTGATTCAACTTTATCCTTCACTAATTACTGTCTTTGGTGAGTACCAATGCCTTTATGAGAAATTTATTAATATTTTATTGTGAATATGTTGGGTTGTAAAGTGAAACAGTAGTAAAAAACCAAAATTCTTGTAAATGTTTTCAAAATTACTCTTAAAATTGCTTTTAAAAGAATCCTACATAATATTTCTAGTGTTTATAATTGTGTTTACATCTCTGTAAAATATTTTGTATTGAAAGTACTCATTTCTTAAAGAGACATGCACGCCATGCGGTGCTAGCCTTGCTAACACTGTGCATTAGCAGTGTGATTAGCTGTTATGTTTTATCAATGCACAATTGATTGTAACAGACAATTTATTTAATTTTAACTGGTTTATTTAGATACTTGACACTAATGTTTATTCTGGCTTTGTGGTTACAAGGCCGGGTTTTTTTTTTTGTATGTGTTTTTTGTCCTCCTCACTACTGCCGGTGTTGTTCTTGGTTGAGAACGATCATCCTGAGATCGTCCTGGCTGGATATTCATATTCTGGTCTGGACTGGCGAGCCATCCTACTGATACGTGCCTGAACTAAGTAAAAGAGAGTGAAATCTGCTGATCTGGTAGGACCAAACTAATTTGTTAAGAGAGTTGTTTTTTTCTCTCCTCGTGTTTTCTACAAGGATATTTTTCATGGGAACAATTTAAATATTTTTTTCCTTGGACTGTTTTTTTTCTTCGTCCAAATTTTTGAAAGGAGACATTTAACTGGACACTTTGACTTCAAACAAAGACTTTATATTGAAAGTTCATCTTTACTTTTAACAAAGACTCTGCTTTTGAAATCTGAAATTTAGGGATTGTTTGGAACTTTGAAACTGAACTTTGCATTTATTTTAATAGCAGTTTGTTGTTGAATTTACTATTCACATTTTCTATTGTATTATACTGTTTTATATTGGTTTTATTTGTTTTCTTTTAAAATCTCAAAAGTGCATTAAGCAAAACAATACAACATATTTTGCATTAATTTATTTGTTGTGAATTATATGATTCATTTATTAATCCTAAAATTAGATTACACTATTATCACTATAAGTATTGTTCTTTTGCTCCAGTGAGTCGAATCTTACCTTTAAACTCTGGTCCAAAAAGAATTCTAATTGTTAGCGTTGGTCTCCGTTATAAAAATACACTAGTTAACATATATAATAGGAGCCACACTAGGGTAGTGTTACATAAAACCTGGCGAGCCAGCCAGGAGCAAAATATACAGCTTAGTGTAATAGTTATAAATCAGATAAACACAATAAGGATAAAACAATTGCGTAAAAATTAGTCCCCCTTCCCTGTGCAGATATTCAACCATGGAAATAGTGAAACACGAGAATGTTAACATCAAGAGGGCAGTCATTGTGAGTGGCTTAACCCATTCTGATCCAGACCAAGAAGTGGAAACCTGCTTAGTCAAATATGGATCTATAAAGCGCAACCTAATTATTGATGATCCCAACTCTGAGTATCACCAATGTGCCATTGTGGAGTTCTCTTGTGATTCTGCTATGCAGCACTTGGAGGGTTTATTGCCTATGACCATCAAAAGTAAGTTAGACACTAATGTGGCCTTTCATGTGCGCAGCTTGGAGAGTGTGTACATGCCTGCAACACATAGCAATGTTACTGAGGCATACTTTGAGAATCTGCAAGCCCTTGCTCAAGACAGTGGAAGGACTCTGCGGGAAGTACTTCACAGTGAGCTGCAAAAAATTTCAGAATTGATGTTTCCAGAAAGTGAATCCTCAAGACCTGAGCCTGAGTTGGAACAGTTTGTGTATGACAGCAGTACAAGAGAACCTAAAAACCCTGCCAATGACAGTACACCAGCACAGTCATCATGTTCTGCTAGAAGTCCTGATGCCAGTGTTGCTGAGACCATTTCCTTTAACATACCTACCAGTGCTTTGAATCCAACTGCAATACAACGAGTA